TATTTATCACTCCAATAGTTTAAAGCCATGGAGAGAACACCAGACAATGAACCCCTGGACACAGACATGTATATTGTAAAAGGCCCTCTACCCCTCCTACATAGGAGCAAGTTGTATCTGCAATTTTACTGACAAGCGTGTGGGCTGGGAAGCATGAGAACAGGTATCTGTTTACCATTTTAATGGCCATGCCAGCTTAAGATGAGCTCTTAAATCCACAAATGATCTGTCGGCTTTCACTCTGAGTAATTTATTGTGAAATTAACTGATTTATGAAATATGTGTGAAATTTAGAAAGATTCTTTTCAAAGAAGATAAATAAACCTGTCCTCAGTATGTGGCTATAAATATGAATATGGTTAGTCAGCAGCTGTAGGTGGAAATAAAATGGGCAACACATCCACTGGCTGTGTGCTCTGGCACGTCAAGTTTCACTATAAATGCAATGATTACAACATAATTTTATTGTATTATTTTAAAAACAATGAACCATTTATAGAATTACATGCTAACAACCCCAAGGCCGCTGTATATTTCACACACTAAATGTAGCTGTGAGTAAATTACCTAAATAGTGTACTTGCTGCTGGTTACAGGACCAGAGTCTTTCTTTCATGTACAAAAACTGGTCAGTGATAGTAGCAGACGACTGAGCAAATATGTACATGTGCAATACTTCTACAATAAATAGCTTTGTCATTACAATTAAGGAATACATAATTACATAATTGGCAGTAGAAGAAGATAAAGGGAAAGAATCTTTCCTCATGACATCAGTGACATCAGTCAGTCAGGTTTCCGTCCTGCTCTTTAAAGGCGATGAGAGGAGCTGGTTTGATTGGACATAAATAAAGCCAGCTCTGACTCCACCTGGTTGTTTGGTGTCTCTTTATCATGTCATTTATTTATTTGTGTTTCATGACTTTGTGTTTCTCTGTGATTGTTTTGCATAATTTTGTGGTCATTGTGTGTAACTTTGTGGACACTTGGATGTCTTTGTGGTCAAGTCAAATGAATGTATATATCAAAATATCACTAATCACAAATTTACCTCAAGAGGCTTTGCAATTTGTAATGCAAACAGAACACTCTGTGCTTAGACCCTTGTTGTCCTGTTGTGTCAATGTGTAGATGCTTTGCTTCCCTTTCTGGTCATTTGATTAACTTTCCAACAAGAAATGTTGACAGCCACCTGGTGGGTTGCTGCACCATCCTAATGGCTTCAACTGCAGTATACGAGTTGAGCTAAAGCTGATGAAGTGATTGCCTCCTACTGTGGAGTTGTGAATGATGTTGGAATTCTACCCACACAGGACTGAGCAGTGTTATACTCTGTGGGGTAACATGAAAATCCCAGTGTCTCCACTGACAAGAGCTGCAGTTTGCTCTGCTGAACAGTAAACACTTTGTCACAGTTTTGAAAGGGGCCAATTATCCATTCACATCACTAAATTAAGAGGATGAGTTTAAATTCAGTTCATTTCAGTAGATTAATGATTTGTTCTTTATTTGAAGTGACTTATTGTTGTGATCTGCTGTATGACATAATATAGTTTTGTGGCACAATGGCCATTCACATTTTCCCTTGAGGAAGTCATCAAGTGTTATTCAACAGCAGTGCAGCAACTGACCTCATTTAACCATTGCTGAGACAGATTTTGACATCATAGTTCTGCGGCGTGGGTTCCTTTTCAGCTGACACACTGTCTGCAGCTCACTGTAGTTTGCCACATTGATAGCCTTGTTTAAATTTCAAGAATTCTTGTTTAGTCTGTCCCTTTCCCTTTTTAAAATAAAATAAAATAGAAAGAAAGGCAAAAACAGTAATTAACTGCAAATGACATTGCAAATATTCATCAAGACTATAATTTTATAAAAGATCTAAAAATGTGCCTTCATAAGCCTTCACCTCATTTCATATTGTGATATTGAGTGATGCATTACCAGAGATGGGACGTAACAAAGTACAAAGGTTAAGTAGCAGAGTACAAATACTTTGTTAGTAGACTTAAGGAGAAGTTTCAGGTATCTGTACTCTATTTGTGTTTATTTTTCCTGATAACTTTCTACCTTTGCTCCCTATATTTTAACACAAATATCTGTACTTACTACGTTTTCAAATCAGGCTCATTACTCTTAGTAAAGTCTGCAGTGCAAACATCAGTGACTCGACCATCACAACTTCATCTGTCACTACAAAACTTACAAACATTAGCTAGAAAGCGAATGTTAAGTTTAAGCTGTTTGACTTGGCTTTTAATCAGTTAATCAATTTTAATCAATTATTCATTTTATTGAGAAGAGTTTCTAGCCGTCCCTGGTAGGCTCTCGCCGCTGCGGCCTGGGTTTGAATTAAGGTTGCATCAGTAAGGGCATCTGTCGTAAAACACGTGCCAAATGTCAACATGCGAGTCGTCAGTATGACGATTCGCTGTGGCGACCCCTAAACGGGAAAAGCCGAAAGGGACTTTCTTTATTGAGAAGAGTTTCTGATAGCCATGAAAGGCATGAGTGCCTTTCTTATTTAATAGCTAGGGGTTAGTTCACAGCCTATGAATGCACAATTAATAATCATAATTAATTTCACTTAAATATGGGAAATTCCTCTGAAATCAGAGCATCTTGTATGACATGACTTGTTTGATTCTCATCACAGTAATTTGGGACTTTTTCAAAATAACCTACTTGATAGCTGCTGAATTACAAACCACCAATTTTCAAAGGGAACTTTACTACTTCTCAAATGAACCATTTAAAAATCTACTGAATTATATTACGATGAAAACAGACAGGTTTTATTGCCTGAATATATTGGAATTATCTGTGCTAAGTGTGGAGGGTCATTGTTAACCATTTGGCAGTGACTTGTTAGCATCCAGTGGGCTTTTCTAGTTGCTTTCAAACACTGAACTAAATGCTGTTGGTATATTACTGATCTGACATCTGTAAAAACTAGTGAGTCATCAAACTACAACACATTCATTAGTATACCGTTTGTATGTGTTGCTAATGAATAAGGACTGTCGCAGCTTTGGTCCAGAAATAGGATGCTGAACAATTGTTTTTCTTACAGTACCATTTTTGACTTAAAGGCCAGTAATCAATAAAATCTCTAAACTGCCTAGTGTGGACATTTGCAGTGTAGTCTTATGTACAACTCAGTTTTTCTTCTATTGCAGACACTGTCCTTCAGTGTACCTCCCATTGGGAAGATTCAACACAATCTGTAGAAGCCCACACACATGCAAATGATTCTCTGCCACCACAGCACACAGCTCACATCCACAACTGCTGATGGTGGCTCACTAATGCCCCAGAAACCAGTGACCATGACTATATTTAGTAGCAATGGCCAGATGCTGGACCAGGCCATTTTTTTCATGTTGCTGTCAGATTTATCCTAAAGTGTCCTTTCCTACACTGTTTTATCTTGTCTTGTATCATCCTTTTCTTTTCTGTCTCACGCCATCCTGTCTCTCTCTCTGGCTTGTCCTGAACTTTTCCATTCTTCTCAATTTATTTCCTGTTATTTCCCGCAGTGATCCTTTCTGTAATGCTCTGTGCATCCTGCACTGCTCTAACCTGTCCCTTCTGGACTTGCATTGATCTGTCCCTGACTGTCCTGCAATGTCCCATCCTGTTTCATTCTGTGTGGTCCCTTTCTGTGCTGTTCTGTCCTATCCCATCCCTTCCTTTTTTATCCTGTCCAGTCCTGCCCTGTCCTGGCCTATTCCTCGTTGTCTTCCATAGTTCTGTTCTAGACTGTCCGGTCTTACTCTGTTCTGTCTGCACAGGATTCCCCATTAATGTGACAGTCATGTCCTCTGTTTATGCCACTTGTGGCATAAACAGACGTGTTTAAATATGCACTTTGAAAATATGATTCATGTTTGTGTATTTGTGTGTGTGCATCTGTATGTGTACCGAAATGAACTCAGCTGAGCTAGCTCAAAGAAGGAAATGTCACATTCTTCTCAGGCCATGGGAATTGCAAGAATTCAGTGAATGACAGATTGAGTGGATCCAGAAATAACCTGTGTGAACCATGACTCATCTCCTATGACAACTGGAAGAGGCAGGCAGTATTTTCCCAGGAACCTGCAAACTGTGCAGATGAGCATTATGTCACAAGGGCAGCAATGAAACTGGGTCAGGCTCTGTACATGATGCTCTTTTTTTTTTTGTTTTGATTATTTTTTGTGCTATTATGAAATAAACTCAACATAGGAAAACTATTATAGACTAACAGCAGTGGTGATATAACCACTGAAATGAAAGCAGTAAGTAGTTCTCCACTGAGGTCATGGTTGTTTAGACACTGTATTTCTAATAGCGGGTGCACAGTGGTGTATTTGAGTTCTGTCCCTTCATGAGCAAGGGATTATAGCTCAGTGACACAGTGGTACACCCACACACACACATACACACACACCCTCTCTCCATTTCTGAATCTCCCTCTGGGTAATCAGTTAGTGTGTATGTTGTCTGTCACTAATCTCTTATTGGCATAACACACTGGACATGGTTAGCTTTCATACTTTGGGTTCTTTGACATATTTCAGTACACAAACACATGCAAACAAACAACAAACCTTCTGAGTGGAAAATTCTGGGGCTGTTACACCATCCTCAGCAGGATTGACACAGATGACAAAACAAATGCCACAAGACCATATCTCTCTGGAGTTGGCAAGAATTAAGGATGACAGGAAAATGGCAGGATTTGGCTCTGTGTAGGGAGGAGAACTAATTATCAATTGGTTTAAATACTAAAATAGGAAAAATCTTAACAGTAGGCATCATATATTTATATGGTGCAGGATTCATTTGTTTTTACCAGTGACCTGGTAAACAGTTCTGCTGCAGGTTGTCAGTTCATTTTAGTCCTGACCTTGGTGGTAATTTACACTTAAGTTCTTTTTCAGAGTTCCTTCAGAAGATTAGTTCTGCAAGGCTTAATTGGATCTATCAAACTGTCTGTGTGCTTTGTCTTTGTGTAGGAGACACTGCAGTCCTTTGCCTTCCTGGTGTTTGCGGTGACCTGCATCTTGGGATCTATCTACCTCCACGTTGTTCTCCCTGAAACCAAAAATAAAACATTTATGGACATCAGTCAGAGCTTTGCTAAGATCAACAAAATTCACCTCTCCCCCACCCGTGAAATGCAGCTGGTTCTGTCCACTAAGTCTGACATGAATGGAAAAGTCCAAGCTGTTGCTAAGATGGAGACTTCTTTCTAACTGAACGCTACACTACACTACACTAACTGTGGAGGAGTGGGGTCAAATATAAACTGAAAGTATTATTCACTGCGATGAGTGAAATAAAAATCCATGCATTTCAGCAGTATTATTATATTTTGTTGTTTTGTATGTCTGGAATATGCATATTACAGTACTACAGTTTATAGCAATTGTTTGTCTCAGTGTAACAAATCAAAATTTTATGTTCTGCTTACCTAATGTAGAACTGAATGAATCAATGTACTCTACATTTTAAAGCAAGTCATAAAATGTAGAAGCTGCAGATAATGAACTCATTCACTTACAAAAAGGATAATAATGTGGCTGGATGGGCCATGCATAAAATACTGATGCAAAGCACAGTACCTAGAGAAAGTCATAAAATCCTGTCAAAATCATTACCCACTGTCACATTTCACCCCGTAAATTAAAGTACATTAAATCTAACTTTTCTTGCTGAATTTACTGTTACGCTATAACCCTAAACATCAAAGTGAAATTTATCATTTTAATTAATTGTTAAACTGTAATTAGTGAAATACCTGATTTGAATAAGTGATCAGCCTCCTAGAGTAATCATTAGAAACGTGCCCAGATACAACCAATCACCTTCCTAATCACTCCTCAGGCTAATCAATTGTTAGGATTTTGAATACTCTGGAATAAAACCTGCTGTTCTTTGAGGAGTCCACTGCAAGTATTGGCAACACAAAGACTTGGTTGGAAAGGGACTTTCAAAAGGGCTCTTTGATAATGTGTGGAAAGGCACAATGTGGGAGGAGAATTTCCAAGACTTTAACTATCCTACTAATTACTGTTCAGATCAATAATAAGGATCATACTGATCAAGGAAGCTACTGAAAAGCTAATTGCAATTCTGGTCGTGCAAGTCTTTATGGCTGAGACTGACTTCTACTGAAAAAGTGCCACAGTGAGTCTCATTTGTGCTTTGTTAAAAACTTGAACAATTTAGCTACAAAGAATGGGGAAATTCTTCCCGACTGGTGAAGCTGGTAGAATCATACCCAAACAAACTGATGTAGCTCTACGAAGTATTGTACTGTACATTGTCAGAAGACTCATGTTTCCAACAAGGTTGCTCTAGTTTTTCATTTAAAAAAAAAACAAACATTTTCACAGTTGTAGGCTTTTGTTTTTATCATTTCAATGTTGTAAGTTAAAATTAGTAAATAAAACTGGAAACTATAGACTTTTAATTTCAGGCTATAATACAAAAGCATGACTATTTCAAAGGGGTACTGTAATAGATACTACGATATTTTCTTTAAACTTGTATTAACTGATCTGATTCTTAAGTCATTTGAAGGCAGCAAAACAACATAATATTGTTAAGGTTTCTGTGTTCAGATCCAAAATACAAAGCCAGAGATGTTGTTGTTTGTATATTCTTTAAGTCAGCACACAGGAAAACTGTGAAGCACAGCACCAAATATCTCAGCACCTCACTTTCAGGTTTGGCTGGATCTAATACACTACTAATCAAAAGTGTGGACACTTTTCTAAAGTGTGTCCTAAATTTTGACTGGCACTGTGTATTCTAGGTCCTTGTGTTCATTCCTTGCCAAAAATGGCTGTCGGCTTACCACTTACCAAGGTCTCCACTCCTCTACTGCCAACTTAAATGTGAGTAGATACTGGTTCCCAATGTCATAGCTCTTCTCAGCAGCTGACAGCCTTCTGGAAAAGAAAGCACACAGATGAATTTTGTTATCTACTACAATTCACTGGGACAGGACTGCCCCACTCCAACATCAGAGGTATCCACATCCACAAGGAATTGGTGTTGCAGGGCAGAGAAAGTGAGGGTAGGAGCATTGGTGAATCGCTTCTTTAACTTCTTCTGGATTCCACCTTAAAGCTGAGTACATAAAGGTTATCTTGTGCCACCATGGCATAACCCTGGATACGCCTCCAATATACTGTAAGATAGCAAACCTTCCAAAAAACTCTGCAGCAATACATAATGTAGACCACTCAGAGCTGGTCTGCACTGTGATCAACTCTGCTGTAACTACATCCATGGATGTTATTTGTCCAGGAAAAAGAACACTTAAAGGTATAACTAGCAATTTTGTGATATTCAGCCAAATTTTTCTTACATCAAAATGTAAACATTCTTTTGCTAGAATCACTGATTATACCTTTAAGTAAAGTAGTGCCAGTAGGCCACAGAAACACTGCTGCAGAAGTTAGTTTTTGATCTTGTGTGACACTTTTTGTGGCTTGCTATTGGACTAATAAGGTGCCACTCATAAGCTCTAGCCAATAGGATGTGTACATCAAGTGGCAAACACTCTTTAATCCCAAGAGCGGGATGTTGTATAAAGCAGCTTCTTATTTTGCAGGATAATAACCCTGATGCCAATGTCTTGGTTAACTTCCTCATATAGTCAACAAGAGAGCGAATTCAGAGACAATATAGTAAAGCTGAAAGGAACAGTTTCTGGAGTTTTTCCAGATCTGAACAGAGCCGAGGCTACTTCCCAACTGACGGCAGGCGCCAGTGGACGAAATGATTTGAACAGAGTTAGACAAGCATGCCACTAGGTAGCATTCAGTTTGTTCCAGAGTATAGTGTACCCAATATTTCAAAGTCCTCTGCCTGGGTGACTAACACCCCACCATGTCACATAGACCTGCACAGTCACAGATAGAAATGATGAAGGGTGTCCAGATATTCAAATGGAATTGTAGAAGAGAGGTGGGGAAATTTCAATGTGTCATTACTTTGAATTTAATTCCAATAATACTAAATACTAAATGTTCAGTAGGATGCACTATGTTGCAGATGATACAATTATTGATAACTTATTGTTGAAAGGAAGTTGAACTTTTTTTTTTTTTTTTTTGGTTTGCTGTGTAAACCTTTCTTCCTTTAGTTTTCAGGAATGCTTGCTAGGAAAGCAAATTTATTACCAAAACACAAAAGGTTTTGGAACCTTTATGAAATTTGGTTTTCAATTAAAAAAAAACACCCTGGTTACAAGTTAAATGTTAAAAAAGTAGAAGTGGATCATTTAATTTCACATCTTTCAGTTTTTTGTGCCAACCTTTGTAAACACTTTGCACAATATGAAAACTAATTTTCTTTCTTTCACATCTGTTTTAAACCAAGGTTGCAGGTTTATTTTCAAAATGATTAACAGTCTTTTGACACAATGAAACACTGAATAGTCACTGGCTCTGTCCACTGCCCACACAGATGACCAATACAAATTTTTATCTAATTCTGTCAATTTAAAGAATGGTTTTGAACATTTACAGCATTTTACAGACATTGCTTTTGGAATGGTGTTGAACCAAAAAAAAAAAACCCATCCTTTTTGGTCCTAGTCCCTGCATCATGTAACCTGCAGTTAAAGGATTAATCCATTTTGTTTGCAGCCTGCTCATTGAATTTACCACTCTCTCTGCTGGATTTGGCCTCTCCATCTGATGACCAGTAATTGAAAATAAAGGTGACAACCATTGATCAGTTTATCCTCTGAAATGACGTCAGAAATCTAATTTCAGTTCACAGTGTAATCATCAGAGTGTCACCATTTCTCTATGTCATTTGTCATTGTTAATATTATTATTGGGTCGTGGCGGGGGGCTGGGGCCAATCCCAGCTGACAGTGGGCGAGAGGCGGGGTACACCCTGGACAGGTCGCCAGTCTATCACAGTACTGACATGTAGACAAACAATCACACACACTCACATTCACTCCTACAGGCAATTTAGTCGCCAATCAACCTAAGCTGCAGATCTTTGGACTGTGGGAGGAAGGTGGAGTACCTGGAGAGAACCCACACAGGCACAGGGAGGACATGCAGACTTCACACAGAAAGGCCCCGGGGTGGCCTGGGCTCAAACCTGGAACCTTCTTGTGAGATGACAGTGCTAACCACCATTCCACCCCTATCATTATTATTATTATTTTTGCTACTGCACTTGTATCTTGGTTTCATATGGGGAAACACAGCTAGTATATTCAGGTTTCTCAAGGGTTAAAAGCTTATCCAGGAATCCAAGATCTAATGTTGCAATGCATGTAAATATATTCACTGACATTTATTTTTTGCAACATGATATAACCTTTGAGTGGAATCTAATATGACAGGCATAACTCTGGTTGCAAAGTGGCATTGACCTGTTGTATCCCAGCCTCCCACACCTGCAACTAGAGGCACTTTGCAGTTTGCGTGGCAAGTTTATGTTCTGACCCTGTTTTGCCGACTGACCGGAGATCATTTGATCTCTGTCACCCATCAGATGTGTTTAGGGGTGTTCTTGGTACTGTCAGAATATCACTTTTGTTGTGGTGGCTGTAGCTTCAAGGCCATTGTTGACATTTGCACTTAATAACACAATAAAACAATGTTTCAGTGGCCCTTCTACTGGCAGGTCTATTAGAAGGGTGCTCTTCCCCTGAAGCATTTGCCTTCTTCTTCAGTCTCAGTGGTGCTGGTTTACGACATGCAAGCTTGAGTACATCAGACACCTTCGGGTAAATATTGAGACAGTGAATGTGTTTGGGTGTAAATGTGTGTATTTATGTGCAAGCAAGAACTGGAGACTGGTGCTGAGGAGAAAAAGACGGTTGCATCAGTGGATTTCATTTCATTGATAGTGTCTAGGCTAAATGAATAAAATTAAAACAGATCAAGGTAGTCGGATGTCACCTACCCTTAGGACCATGAAGAATCACCGGTCATCTGCTGTAACCCCTATTCTGTTGTAGCTGTCACAGCTGGACCTCTGAATTGCTGCCCACAATACATCTCATATTTGTTAGGAGATTCAAAAAGATCTGCCGTTGAGCCCTTTGTGTCAGTTTGACAAACAGTCAAGCAATCTGATCTTTATAGACAGGATTAAGAATGTCACTTTCATCATCCTGCATCTGTGCTACAAGATGGACACCTGTACTCCCTCCCATGACACAAAGACAACATAACTGAACATGTGTGCAGCTGTTACCCTGGCAACAGGCAATCATTCTAACACCCGCTACCCAGGGGCAAAAAGGCAGAATATGTAGCAATGATATAGCATCTCTAACCAAAGTGGTAGTAGAAGGAGGGGGTCATCACACTAATGAGCCAGTCATGCTGGTCTCTACACCTGACCCTCTGACCATCAGCTGATGTGCATAGCCTCACAAGAATTCAGTTTTGTCCTGGAGAAGATTCCAGAAACAACCTACAGGTAAGAGATAACAGGTCAAAGCAAAGCCCAAGGATTGCCATAACAATATCTGTCAGACCTGTTACAAATATCATAGTGCAACTGACACACTGCAGGACAATTTAGGCCAGTCATCCCAAATACTTGCACAGAGTCAGTGTGGCCAGCCCCTGTTTGGGAAAGAACCTGCCATGGGACCACTGCAATAACCAATGAATGTCTGCTGTGAGAGTCTCAAGGAACCTGTGCGGCTCCAATTAGTATGCCATGGCATACACAAGACACGGTGATGCAATTTCTCCCGTCTCTCCCTGTCATGGTTTACAAAGGGAAAATGTATTCAGCTGAGGCATCCTGCACCTAAAGGAACACCTGATGTTGTTAGGCACATAACTGACAGAGCAAGACAGGTCAGTCAGACTTTTTCCCAGTATTTTGCAGAATCCATCTATTCTGCATTATGATCATGCTCTCTGGCTCAACCACACTTCTGAAACAGACCAGCCTTTTCCTCTTTGGGCCTAAGTTCAAGTTTATGGTTGGATGAAAATGAAAAA